AACTCAGGTCCTGTGGAAGAGCAGTCAGTGCTCTTAACTGCTGAGCCATCTCTCCAGCCCAGCTGTGTCCCTTTGTGTTTGAGGTAGTTCCTGGAGGTCCTCGGGGCCTTTCAGAGACAGGAGCGAACTCTGCCAGCTTCAGGAAGTTTTCTGTTTCTGTGATTCTCTCTTTATTAGACTAGCAGGACCGGGGTGTGTACTTCTCATCACTTCCCTGATGATGGACAAGTGATGTCCATCCTCCATCTTCTCTTGGTCTGAAGTCTGTCTGAGGCTCCGATGGGGCCCAGAAAGCTGTGGCTACCTTATTTCCAGGCCGGGGTGTTCATCTGGGTAAGTGCTCCCCTGCAGTGGGTGAGATGATGCTGTACCACTGCCCATGCGTTCCGTTCAGCTGCTGTCACTGGTCCTCAAGAGGCCGCTTCCATGGAGATGCTCCAGTGGCCTCAGAAGACTATGGCGGTAACAGTTCACTCCTTACCTGGGCAGCCTGGTTATGAGCGGCTGACACATCCCCATCGCATCCTGCCGACCTCCAGTGGTGCAGCCCAAATGCCCCTTCCCTCTCATCCCTTCGAGATAAACCGGCAGCCCCTGCTCTGCTGCCCCGTCACGGAGACCCAGCTGCAGCATCGTGGTTTTCACGTGTGTGTGGCCTGGGGACCCAGGACACTCTGCCTGGCCTCCGTGTGTTCTCACTGAGCTGAAAGCAGAAGCCTATGGGAGGGGCTGGTCTGCACTGCGTGGGAAATCCAGTCACACTTAGAGACAAAGGCTGCTCTTGGCCCAGACATGCCACCAGCTCAGACAAGGCTTCCCTGCTGACTTTGCTGCAGGGAGCCAACAGCAAACTCCCAGGGCAGCAGGGCTGGGGGGGGGGAGAACACGTGGCTCGGAAAAGGAAACACCACACGAATCCCATTCACACCCAGAAAAGAAAACACCACACGCATCCCACTCACACCCAGAGTGAGGGCAGCAGCTGCCAGGCTGAGCCACCGAGACGACGCTCTCAGGGCGGCTTTCTTTTGGGACGTTCGGATCAACTTCCAGGGAATTCCACTCATCAGATATGACAGCAGACCGAGCTGCGAGCTTATCACGAGCTTTTGTTTAGGCAACTGCCCGACAGGGCGTGAACTGAGCCCCCGGCGTCCCTCTGTGGACTGAGCTCCCCATCACCAGCTGTTCCGTTTAAAGCACCCTGTGTGTTTGAGAGGTAGGGAAAACAATTTATTTAAATTGCAGAATAAGTTGACATCAAGTTTGATGTGGATTGAATTACATTTGAAGATGTAACCCGGGGGGGCTGGTGAGATGGCTGGATTGAGACCGTGTAAGTTTGAAGACCAGAGTTCAGATCCCCAGAATCCACATATAAAACAAAACAAAAAAAACAAAAAAAAACCTATTGTATGAGTACTCCAGATGCAGAGAGAGGGGATCCCCAGGGAAATTAGACTAGCTGGAATGTGTGAGTTCTGGATCCAGCAAGAGACCCCAATTCAGTAAAGTGAAGAGTGATGCAGGAACATACCTGATGTCGACTTTGGGCCTCTGTGAACATATATGTGCATACCTACAGACACCTAAACTCACACATGTATAAACATGCATACACAGGTAGAATACATGTCCATGTAAAAGAAGAAATAATCTAACCACTGGAGCATACAAATGCAGTCTTCTGCCTTGAGGGGCCCTGAGTTTTGTTTTGTTTTTTTTCTCTTACCAGGAGAGTGTAGGATTTTTCTGACAACTAGGGTAAGGTGGTTCCCACCCCCCTCCCCCCCAGCTTGGAGGTTGTGACATATCTGTCCTCAGATGCACAGAGCTGGGGCCCACAGCACTCTACCCAACTTTGTTCACGTCATACTGTGATTGCTTAAGAACACACACACACACACACACACACACACACACACACACACCTGTGGGCCGTGGGATGACGAGCCCTGAGCTGGGCTGCAGTGCAATCGTTCCTGTAAAAATGTTTCTGATTGAAGTTGTTTGGAGTCAAGTGTTCCATGCAAAAGGCCTGTTCGTATATGCTTTCATGATTCATTGACATGGAAGAAATGTCCCAGGAATTTGAAGGACCCCCTAGGGAGATCGCTAATCTAGAGAGTGGATTTCAGGTCTAAAAATCAAATCCACATCCCAGACCACACTAAGGCTCTGCTCTTTTATTAAGGTGAAAAATCCTTGAAACAAGAACAGATTTCATCAGAGCTGCCAGTCTTGCGGCAGTGTTTAGAAGTTCAGACTGCTGCCAGCCCTGGGCCTGATATGACAATGTCGCAGGGATCCCAGCGCCTAGCAACCGGGATTTCCTGCACTGCTTATGTAACCCTCTGCGTTATGAGGGGCTCTGCAGTTATGTTTGTGCCGTGAACACTCTGGGATGAGACCGGCCTGGCACAGGTGGAGTGCTGGGGGCAGGGCGCCGCTAAGTGGCTCCGATACAGTGATTTTCTTGCCAAGCTCAGGAAATGAATGCAGGCCTGGCTTTATCCAGTGATCCACATCCGCCCTTCAGCGACTGCCAGCCAGTTGGTGTTACATTTCAAAGGGAAGCCACAATGGATGTGATAGTGCCAAGAGGACTAGCTGGTCCTGCTACAGCGAGGAAGGCTTAACATCAGTGAGGGAGTAGAGTATCACAAGCCCACCCGACACTCTTGGGAGCCAAGTGGGCTGAGCCACCCCCACCCAGCCCGATCCCCTCCCATGCTGGCACAGCTGGGATCTGGCATTTCAATCATGCAAATCGGTAGGACCTGAAGTTCCCAGGTGTCTTTTATGCTAAAAATGTAAAGTGTAAGGGGAAAAAAAATCTTACTTGGGAAATTGATCCATCAAGTAAAAATAGAGATAAAATTAGCAATGTACCAAATAGACTCTCAAACAGCTAAGTGTGAATAAGCAAAAGCCACATAGTTGGGTGTTTTAAGGGAGAAGAGACAACTACATTTTAGAAACGCACCCAGTGAACATGTTTAGAAGCCCAGCTGGCCTGGGGCTAGGTTGGCTCTGAGATGATGTGGGGCCTGCAGCTTCCTGGGGGGAGGACAATGTCCACAACCCTGTGACCTGAGTCGATTGCTGTTCTGCCTGATGTGGGCCTGGCAGTCAGAGGAACCTCCCCTGCCCCTTCAAAGGTCCTCCATTTGGGAGTAGTTTCATTGGTGGCAGGCAGCTTTGTTTGTAGTGCTCTGGTGGAACTGTACAAGGATGATGATTGAAGAGTTGGAGGAGGACTTCAAAGCTGTTCTTCCCCTTAGATGAACGTGCAGTAAGAAGGCAAAAACATGACAATTGACTTGGGAACGAAGCTGGTTTGCAGCCAGTTGGTGAATAAACCCACAGAGGAATTAGTCTGCGTATTACCACATCAGTTTGTTTGCTTACCTTCCCAGAAGACAGGTGACGGACGGGCTCCCCTTTACACTCTATTTCTCTAATTCTATTCTCCCCAGTCACAATTCCACCTGACCCTGAACTGCTCATGATTGGATTCCTAGGCTGAGAAGTGATTAGAGTGAATGAGTGAAGGAATGAATGAGTGAGTGAAGGAATGAATGAGTGAATGAAGGAATGAGTGAATGAGTGAAGGAATGAATGAGTGAGTGAATGCAGGGGCTATCAAGCAAACAGGTAAATGATGGAACAAAGGAGCCAGTGAGTTGACAAAGGGTACACGGTATGAAGACACTAAGTGCTTACAGAAGGAATACTCAGATGGACTGAGTCCTGAGTGCTCCATCATAAGAGACAAAACTGGCTCCCGTGATACCTGAGTGACTGGTGTGGCCGTGGAGGCCAGCCTCCCACGGCACAGGCTCCTCTGGGAGGTTCAAGCCCCTTGGCACCATGCCTACAACATCATCAGAAGAGAGAGCTGCTCATCTTCCCTCCTCTCTCTGAGTATTTCTCCATGAGGTAAGTGACATCAACCCCAGAGGTGGGTGCCCGTGTGTGCAGGCTCTCAACAGAGCCCCGCTGCACCACTGGCAGGGTCCCTTGAGCTCGCTGGGTTTAATGATGCTCTGTCACCCCAGAGGAGACTGTGGTGTGTATCTTCCAGCGCAGGACTGTCCCAGGCAAACAGAAGCTTGAGGAGGAGGCAGAGCCAGCTCTGGGCACCCTGGGCATCCTGTAGGCTACAGGGAAGGGCCTGCAGTGAGGCAGGAGCTGGTTACCCCGGAGACCGTTGATGGACTTCGGTTTCTGCTCTGTACAGCTCAGCTCCCATATCACCCCAGAGAGATGGGATTGGGCTGGGCTGTTTATTTTGGGTGTCCTCAGATAAGACACCCCATTGATCCAGATCACCATAAAGGACTTCATTGCTGTTAATAAATACTTTCCAACGTGAGTTCCCAGAGTGGCCGTGTATTTGGGGAGGCATGGAGCACACTCTAGCCTTTCTGGCTGGCGTGTCCAGGTCTGACAGTAGCTATAAGCCGTCATGTCAGATCCATGATTTATTCATCACTTAATAGCTTTTGGATTCCTAAGTCAGCAAACATACTCAGAAATATCCTTTAAACCTTCCTAACTGAGGGCTTCTTCAACCTGTGGAAGGATGTGGAGAAGGAGGCTTGCAAAGGACAATCCTATTTCCCTCTCAGCTGAGATGCGCTTGAGTCCCGGGAGAGACCCATCACTGTAGGAAACTTTATTTAAATTTTGCCTTCCGTTTTCATATTAAAACTAATGAAATTTTTGCCCAGCCCCTGCCCTGTACAGTCCGGCAGGTTTCCATCTTTGCGTTTTGTCCCTGTCCTGTCTCCAGTAGCTGTTATATACATGATGAAACTAGCTTCCTCCCCTCCCCTCCCCTCCCCTTCCTTTCCCCCCTCCTCTCCCTTTCCCCTCCCCTCCCCTCCCCTCCTCTCTTTTTTCTTCTCCTCTCCCTGCACCTCCTCCTTGCTTACCTGTAGTGGATAGCTGTTCTGACATCCGCCTACACCTACGTATCTTTCTGAATTTTCTACAGTGACTCTATATCAATTTGTAACGATAGAAATTAAAGCCCAGAGAGGCTTTCGTGGACGGAAAGGAAGGTGAGTGAAAACAAACCAGCCTTTAAATGAGAGAGCGCGGCCCCTCACAAAGATCCTGCCCTTTCCTGCATTCACTCCTGTGGTGTGACTTACACATCAGGCTTATGACTGTGTAACATTTCAGGCCCTCCCTCAATACACCCCCAATAACTCACAGAGTCAGGCAAGCTGTCTCAATTCTTTGACTGGTCTCTTGATTTTTTTTTCATTGATGAGACTGAGACAGCTAGTTAAGCAGAGAACGAATGAGCAGTGAGCTCTAATGTGGGTCCTTTTGGGTTATGTTTATCCCGACAACCTCCCAGGTCACCCTATGACCCTGGGCACTGCTCTTTGAGGCCTGAATGGAAAGAGAGATCCTTGGAAAACTAAATGGATGTGCAGATCCAGGTGGATCTGAGGGTCAGGATGAGGGATAATCACCAGTCTGGAAGGCCCTTGGCTTTGGCTTAGACGCCGAGCTACAGAAACAGAAGTAGGTACTGAATGGCCACTATTGACCCAGGCCTTCTTAACTGAACGTGATGTCATATTTTCAGTAAAACCAAACCAAGACTTACCCTTGACTCTTTATGTCACCAGGTGCTGCTTGAGGGGCCGCCCTCACCCAGGCATGTCCAGGCTGCAGGATTGTGGTCATCTGGGTCACCGAGGCACTTGAGGATGATGGGAGGGAATAGCTCTGGAGCAACAAATCCAGAGACCCCGGGATGACTGAGAGGCACCATGAACAGGTGAGCTTCGACGTCTCTTTGCAAAGCGACTAGCTCCTAAAATGGCTAATTCAAACAAAAATTTCGTTAGTTTTAATATAAAAATGGAAGGCAAAATTTAAATAAAGTTTCCTACAGTGATGGGTCTCTCCCGGGACTCAAGCGCATCTCAGCTGAGAGAAAGATAGGATTATTCTTTGCAAGCCTCCTTCTCCACATCCTTCCACAGGTTGAAGAAGCCCTCAGTTAGGAAGGTTTAAAGGACATTTCTGAGTCTGTTTGCTGACTTAGGAATCCGAAAACGCCAGTGTCTCCGAGAATCAATTGCAGATGAGGAAGACTAGTTGGCCCCCAGGTGGACGTGAAGGCTGCTTTCAATCTTGGTTTTCAAAGTATTTGTTTAAAGCAAGTCTTGCAGTGCTCCGTGGAAAAGCCTTTCCTCCTGGCTCCTCTTGACCTCTGTGACCTCCTCTCAGGGCACAGTGTTGGGGGATAATTAAAGCTGTTTATTCTTCAGGAGGCTCTGAGAACTCGCAGCAGTTTTAAAAATTAACCGGGGACTCAGAGCAGCTATGTATGCCCTGCTGGGATCGCGGGACCATAGATACTCACGCTGAGGTTCCTGCTAGGGAAGGGAACAGCCGTTTTTCTGACCCCACAGCCTACAGTCCCCCCCCCCCCTCGCCTGCTCCTCATCTGCAGGTCTCTGCTCTTTCCATATGCCTCTTGGCAAAGAGGACCCCGGGGACTGACCACAGAGGTCCCCACATGCCAGTCAGTCATCCACTGTTAACTCCGCCCTCATCGCTAGTTTGACTTTTCTTTTAAGGCAAGGTCTCACTAAGTTACCCAAGATGGCATACAACTTGCAATCTTGGAGATCCTCCTGCCTCCTCCTGAACTACTGGGTTAACAGGCCTGTGCCATCTTGTCTGGCTCCAAGCTCTCCAGAGGAGGAGAGCTTCCTACAAATGTAAATGAAGGAGCAAAGTAAGCCAGAGCCTCTCCACAGAGGAGCTGTGCTCCTTTGCCCAGTGCTCAGCACACAGGAGGACCAGTGACCCCAGGACCAGCAGCCTTGTGCTTCCTCCCCCAGTCTCCAGTGGCTCACTGAATACTTCCTGTTGTAGCTTAGCTGATTCCCCTCTAGGTGCATCCACAGCCCAAGAGAGTCCATGACACTCTTCCCTCAGAGAGCCAAGAAACTCAAAGGTGCCTGAGGTTCGTGGTAAAAGTATCCATGGACAGGGAAATACCAGCCCTTTTCCCATACAGTGTCCTCTCATCCTAACCTGTCAGGACCTATGATGCCTGTTAGGAATATGGAGGGAGGGAGCGATGTCACTGTGTCCACCTCAGAGTTGGGCATTTCCCATCTTTGTGGGATTTCACCTTCTCTGGGGACTGGAAGTCATAGCTTGTTGGAGAATAGTAATGAGGCTAAGAGCTGTGTAAGGATGTTTTTGTTAAGAGCCTAGTCAGTCTGGGACCAGAAGGAAGGATTCCAGAGAGGTCAGGGGGCAGATAGAGAGAGGAAGAGACCAAGGGTCCCAGACAAAAGCCAAGGTTCCAGTGAAGGCACCCGGAGTGAGGGGTCTGTGGCCTCACGGATTATACTCTACCCAGGAGGCTACAGGAGCTAGGTGGTGCTCCTGAGGAGCCCTCCGCCCTGTGGGTGGCACAGACCTTTGCTGAGGGTCTGGTGTGGGCTGCCAGCTGAACCTGAAGGCCAGAGACAATTGCTTTGCATTTCCCTCAACTCCTAGTTTCTTCTCTAGGAAAATGAACCCATGGAAACCCAGCCCTGACAAGGGGCTCATCTTGTCCCATTCTTGTTTATTCAAGAGGCAGAAGACATGGCCAGGACACCTGTGTTATGCTTTTAGAGTGTGTCAGCAGGGTCCCAGCAAAATAACAGCAGTGCTGGCCCCTCAGTGAGATCACAACAATGCAGGCCCAGCCCCGACTGAGTTCCGTAAGTTCACAGCAAGGAAGGATTCCTGCAAGTAGACAGCATCCTAAGAGAATATCAGACAGGGCAGTGGGCTGTGAGAACAGTTGCCCTACTGCCTGAGGCAGTGGCAGCTGATGACACCGTGCTGGGTGACGAGGGTTCTCCAAAGAGACCATCCTTTCCTCGGTGAGGTCACAGGCGTCTGAGCCAGGATCCAAAAGGCTTGTGCAGCGTCTGTTGATGCTGAGTGCACCTGGGAACAAGGCTGCACAGGCTCTAGAGGAGCCATCACTCACCCCGATGCGGCGATTCTGGGGAAAAAGCCTGCCTTCTGCAGCACACCCAGGGCGCACAGCATGGGACGAAGGTCTTACCTCAGGAGCTTTACACATCTCCTGGGCATCTTGAAATAGTAACAGGAGACAGAGATGTTTGGACCAGCTCATGTTTCTGAGCATATTTTCCTCAAGTTCACCCGCTGAAGGAGAAATGAGAAGCCAAAGAGAGCAAGTCTTGGGAAAAGCAAGGCCGAGGGGTCCATCGGAGGCGTGAGCCCCGGACTTAGAACCATTGAAGCCTACCTGCCATCCGGCTCTTGAGTCTGGGTCTTCGTTACAAGGCATTGGTTTCATGTTATTTTCATATCTAGTCAAGAGGGACGGCGCTGCTTGAGTTGTTAAAGGCCAGTGAGCCCCGCTGCACAGCCAGAGTGGGCTCTTCTTCCAGGCAGTGGGAAGCTCAGCTGGGGAAGGAGGCCTTGCGGAGCCCCGACACCTCTAGCAGGAGTAGGCATGTCTGTGCTGATCCTCACAGCATTGGCGAGGATTTCACACAATACATACACACAGCCCCATCCCACCCCAGGCTGCCAAAGCAAGTGTGGGAACCACAGGTGGTGATGATGGACACCAAGGGTTTGATTGCCAGAATCTGCCATTTCTGGGCACCACAGTGTGTTTGGGGTAAATTCCAAGGATGCCTCTCTTCCACCAGGCTCATTCTGGGGTGCCGCATGAGGCTGAAAGCCATGCTGCAAAGGCAGATCCATGTCCACTGAGACCACCTGTACTTCCAGCAACACCAGAATCACACCTCTGGGATTTCCTGCGGAAGTTCTCCGAGTCTCTTAGCCTACAGGCTTCCATTTTTTAAAGAAAGCAGTGGCTGTGCAGAACACAGGACTTTGCCCAAGACCAGGGAAGCAGGCACAGGAGCTGGAGCGTTCCTCCCACACAGGAAATCATAGGCTCTCATGACTCTCTTTATGTATGTACATAAAACACCATGCACTCATGCACCACACACACACACACACACACACACACACACACACACACACACACACTATATACACCACCCAAACCCACATCCAGACATAACATACACAACACACCACTGCACATATGCAAGTCACACACCGCACAGTATACACACTGATACCATACCTACCCACCCCTGACACGCCCACAACACGTAGATTGACAACACACATTCAGGCACACAGTCCTGCTGCTGTGGGGGTGAAGACAAGTGGATGTGTTCTACTGAGGGCACCTGGGTTGTCCTTTGGGGACAGTGGGAGTGGCAGGACAGAGTTGGCACAGTGCAGATCTTGTTATGTGTGAGAGCACCTTGTTCCCCGAGTCATGACACCAGCAGATTAGTGGATGTCACCGTTGGGGACTGGTGCTATCCTGGTTTGCTTTTATTGCCAATTTGACACAACCAAGAGTCACCCGGGAAGAGGCCTCAACCAAGGGAACTGTCCAAGTCAGATTAACATGGGGCTATGTCTGCGGGGATCGTCTTGACTACTGACTGATGTAGGAGGGCTCAGCCCACTGGGAGATGAACTGTTGGTTGGGCAGATGGTCCTGGGCTGTATAAAGAGGATGACTAGGAGGGAGCCAGGAAGAAGTGCTCCTCCCTGGTCTCTGCTTCATCTCCCATCTCCAGGCTCCTGCTTTGAGTTCCTGTACTGATTTCCCTTAGGGATGGGCTGGTGCCTGAAGTGTCTGCTGAAATCAACTCTTTCTTTCCTGTGTTGCTTTTGGTCGGAATGTTTTATCACAGGAAGCAAAGAACAGGTCCTTTCTGTCACTGGCCAGACGAAAGACCTCCACTATCTTGTGGTGATACTGTGTTCCCCAAAATATTGTGCACCCTAATAAACTTATCTAGGGTCAGAGAACAGAACAGCCACAATACTAAACATAGAGGTTAGGCAGTGGTAGCACATGCCTTTAATCCTAGCATTCCAGAGGCAGAGGTCCGCCTGGATCTCTGGGAGTTCAAAGCCACACTGGAAACAGCCAGGCATGGTGACTCATGCCTTTAATCCCAGGGAATGATGGCAGAAAGCAGAAAGGTATATAAGGTGTGAAAACCAGGAACTAGAACTGGTTAAGCTCTTAGGCTTTTGAGCAGCAGTTCAGCTGAGATTCATTTGGATGAGGACTCAGAGGCTTCCATTCTGAGGAAACAGGATCGGCTGAGGAACTGGCGAGGTGAGGTAGCTGTGGCTTATTCCGCGTCTCTGATTTTCTAGCATTCACCCCAATACCTGGCCCTGGGTTTGATTTTATTATAAGATCTGTTAAGATTCATGCTACACTATCTCATTAGCATAGGCTGTGGGTCTCATGCCTAAGTCTGAATACCAACGAGAGACCAGCCACCAAGGCTACTGTTTACCTCTGCCAACCACCTCAGCATACCAACAATCCAGGGTGTGCTAACTTGGCGACCTGTCTCCTGGTCCTCATGACAGGCTTTGGGGAAGGACCAAAGGTATCTATCTTGTTCTGTGCCCACTTGCCAGCAAAGTGTATAATTCATATTCCACTCACACCCCCTGCAATTTGCCTTCTGATTATGACTGAGTAGGCTCTTGTTCTAGGTGTTTCTACCAGACAGGCAAGGTGGGTGGGATTCTCTTTTTAGAAGAGCTAAGTCAGGAACCGATGCTGCCTTTGGCCCACCCAGGTGTCCAATCAGGGTGAGGTGCAGCCAGGCTGTAGGATGAGGATTTGTTTCGGAGGATCTTGCACCCCAAGATACCAGAAGGAGGAGACAGTCTGCCCGTGAGATGAGAAAAGAGCATTGCTCAGTTTAAACAGAGCTCGGCACCATCTGTTTTCCATACTGGGATGAGGCCAGATGGTTGGGTGGAATCTTCTCACAGGCCCAGCAGACACGGTACCTCAGAGCTGGGCCATGGCTGTGATGGCCAACAGCAGCGGTTGAGAAGCAGAGATTATGCCATGGTGTCTCTCCACGTGGTGTGGGAGATGGCAGGCATGTGGGTCTGCCCAGAGGCTAAGGCTGAAGCCCAGCCAACCCTGGCCCTTGGGTAGATATGTGTTGACCCAAGCAGAGCATCTATGGTGGCTACAGAAGGCAGAGCAAGTCTCTGGATTCACTGTCCAAGGAATATCCCACGATATGGAGTTGCTTGATTTTAAATGACCCGATTTTTCCTTCCTGGGCTCCGTGAAGGAAACGCTTTCATCAGCGGGAGGTGTGCTGGAGGTATTCTCCATGTGCTCCCTCCCCCAGGCATTCTGCCTGTGGCTGACACAGAGTCATACAGCCACACAAAAGCCCCCGAGGAAGTCAAAGTGAGGCATCTGGTGTGGGACCAACACCCCTGATTGGGGGGGGGGGTCTGGCAGGATGCACAGGGCGACTTGTGCGTTCTGTGTGCAGCCCTGCACAGTCGTCGTTCTGGAAGCTGAAAGAACTTCTGTTCTTTTAGAGGCTGGAAAAGTCTTTTAGGAAACATCCAGTTGATTATCTTCTCAACTCTAGCTCTGCCATTCCAGAGAAGTTTTCATCCAGGGCTCACTTTAAAAGCCACAGAAACCAGTGCATTCATGTCCCCTACCCCCACCCCACCCTGTGGACCTGTGGGTCCTGATAAGAGATCTTACCACAAAAGGGCCTTGCTTGCTGCCAAACATGGCCCCTCTTTCTCATGGAATAAGTTAACCGCTTGGCTGCCTGAGCAGGGCCTCAAGGTGACGGCCTCAGAGCAGACGAAGCACCGATAGATTCTAGCTCCCTTCTAGGACCCAAACCTCACATGTGATCGTATTTCCTTTTCTTTTTCTTCTTTTTTTTTCTGAGAAAAAGCCACGTGTGAAAAAAAACTCTTCTATGCACAAAGCCTAAGAGAAATCTACCTTAAAATAGTATCATGTGGGAGAGAGAAGTAACATATTCCACGTGGTAACAGAACGTGGTCATGATGAGTTACACGCTCAACTCCCGTCATAGCTGTGATCCAGGAGGCACCTCACGCACTTGGCTCTCCTGGGGAGGGAGCAAGTCTGAGCAGGGCAGGGTGGGCGGAGCTGTTCTCCTAAGCCCCCTGTTTACCCAGGAGCCCTTGACAGGCCTGCCTGCAGCAGAGGCCTGCTTCCTCCAGGGAGGGGACTGTGCCTGACAACAGCACTTGCCCTGTTCCCTCCACTTCTCATTTTCCATCCAACTAGTTAATCACCCCGGCTCCTTTGTGGGTGCTAATTGCACCTGCACAGGTTCCATCTCCGACTTCAAGGCCAGGAAGGTGGGGCTGGGTATGCTGTGGTAGGCGGCAGGCAGGCACTGCCCCTCAAAGGTGGTTCCCGGGCAGGGCCCAGGTGTTTACTTGGTTCTGGATATCCTGGGCTCTGGACCAGGGACCCCAGGGCTGGCATCTGGTCCTGTCTGTGTCCAGGACAGCAGCGTGGGGGCACTGTGGCTCCTGTTTTCACTTCGCTCCTCTCTGAAGTTCCAGAGATTTCTTTCCTTAATTTTTAGATTAAATTTTATTAGTTTTAGTTTATGTATGTCTTCCTGTGGGTGTGTATACATGTGTGCAAGTGCCCAAGGCAGCCAGAGGTGCCAGATTTCCTGGAACTGGAGTTGTAGGCAGTCATGAGCTGGGAACCAAACTCAGGTCCTCATAAGAGCAGTGCTCCGTTAACTGCTGAGCCATCTCTCCAGCCTCCAGAGTTTTCCTTGTTTCTTTTTGATGTAGGGATCAGTTCTCCACAGTGGCTAGCACAGGGACTTGGTAGAACCATGACCCCAGGCTGAGTAGATGGCTTCCATATCGCCTGGAAAGACTCTCCGGTGCTTTGCTCCAGTGCTAACCGTTCTGGTCATGGGGAGTCGGAGAAGGAAAAGGCTGTGAGGGACCATGGGGTTCTCTCTGTGTCACACGGGTGACAATCTTGTCAGCACTGTAAGGTTCTTGCTGTCACAGTTTGGATTTAGAAGGCTGAAAGCTGGCGGGGCTCCTCTCTGTGGCCAAGCCCCAAGTGTCCTTGCCCCTTCAAACTGTGAGCACCCACCTCTTACACACATTCTTAACTTTGTTCTGTGGCTCAGGTCTCCCCAGTAATGCCCCTGGGGCAGGTAAAAGAGCTCTTCATCCTGGGCTCAGAGGCCAGTCAGTCTTCCCCAGCCCGCACCAACCCCCTTCTCTGACTATCACCAAGGACAAGAGAACAGGGAAGATGCCTGTTCGGCCTCCCCAGTCTGGAGAGACAATCACCAGAATGCTGATGTTTTACTGGAACACATCCAGGGGTCACAACGCCGCCCGCCTAGTGGAGGGAGCAAGAATGGGTTGAATTCCCCTCTCCAGGTTTAATGGTTAACACACATGGCGCTTCAGCCCGCCCTGTTTAATTGACTGTTTAACTTAAGAAACGGAGATCTCGGTGGGAGTCTAAATCTGCAGGTCAGTAAACAGCAGCTGAAAGCGGAGCCCTGGCCCTGCTGCTGGATGTCCTTTTGCCCGTGCGTGCGCGTCACCTGCAGGTCAGCAGGCCCTCTCCGCTCTCCCGTAGCTTTGGCTTGGCCTTCGAGCCTGTGGCAAGCTGGGTATCAGTCACACCTCAGACCCGAGGGGTGTGAAAAGACAAAGCATGCCCTTTCGTTTTCCTCTCTGTGTCTCCAGCCCCGAGGCAGCCGAGGTGTGGCGCGTCTGCCGCAGAAGAGAATGAAACTCTGAGGACAAACGGATGGTGTCCGCTGTCTGCAGAAAGAAACGCTGTTGCTGGCCCGTGACTGCTGCTTCTGTTAGCACACTGGCTTTCCCCCCACTTAAGGAACAGCATGGGCAAGAGTAAAACGTGTCTTCTACCTTGACAGAATTGTGTCCGAAGCCGGGCCCAGTGGGTGAGAGTGCCCACTGAAGCGGCAGGATGGACTGGTCCAAGTCCTTACCTCGCCTGCAGAAACAAAGCCGGAGAGAGGACGGGTCTGAATTGGGATCACCACGGCAGGGGGTGGGTGGGGAGAGACTCTTGTCCTGAGCAATGGTGGGGTTCGGGGGGTGCTCTCCCAAGGGTCAGTCCACCAGTCTCCCTACTCCCGAGTCCCCACTTCATAATCCTACCCCGTCAGGTCCACCCTGTCCACCTGTCAGTCACACACACCACGGCATTTCACCACGTGGTCTGCTGCATACTTAGCTCTCTCATTTCTGTACCCCCTGCTCTCTCCCCTGTGTCTCTCACCTTTTCTGGGGCCGACAGTGCTCCTTCACTGTTTCATGGTCCCTCTGGCCCCATTCTTCTCAGGGGGATGGACATCTACAGATGTCCCAGCACACAGGGACATCTGTAGAACCGCATCACGTTAGATGATTTTTCCACTCTCATAAAACACTTCTATTTAGGGCCAGCATGCTTCAAATGAAAAGGCTTCTTTAGTCCCATAGAAAAACACTAAGCTTGAACCTTTATCTCCCGGGCTTCCTGCAGCTGAGAGGCCAGCACACAGTGGGGGAGTTGTTGTGTCTATGTGCTGGCCAGCAAACCTTCCTGGTATGTACACAGTCACTCCAGCTGAGACAGGCTGCACCGGGCACAAGTCTACACAGACAGAGGTGGAGAACTGTCTGGGTGACAATCTCTGTGAGGATGAGGGCACCTGGGCTGGCCTGAGCCACCCCAGGAACTCACGCCAGTCCACGGTGCAGACACCCCTCCGGCCGTCAGGCAGGTGAGGCTGAGCAGGGTTGGCAGGTTGATGGCTTCCACACAGAGCAAATTTTCCTGCCTCTAATCCAGCGGATGGGCTCCTAGGCACTCACAGAGGCTGGTCCCTCTTAGTCCAGGGATTCTCAGTGCACCCTGGGCTGCAGGTGGGGCTTTCCCATTTCTAATTTCTGTTTCCACTCCAGGTGAGCAGGAGGCTCTGCTCTTCACAAAGAAAAGTGAAGAAGAGAAGCCCAGGGGCTAGGGCAGGGGCATTCCTTCTCTGCTTTTCCAGGGCAGAGTTTTGGGGTGCACAGGGAATCACTGAGGGTGGGGATTACAGTCCAGCTCTAGGGCAGCCTGAGCTAAGTCAGAGTCCCTGAGGAGTGTAGCCTCTGGGACTTAGAAGCCACTTTCTTTCCAGCGCCAGCCCTCTCTTTCAGAGTCTCTGAGCACTGGTGTAGCTCAGCTAGCCCTTCTTGGTCTACATCCCCACCTGGGGGCTATTTAGAACTGATGAGGAGCTCAGGGCTGCTTTCAGAAAGAAGGAGACCGAAAGGCTATGCTGAGTCCTGGGAGGGGTTGGAGTTAAAAAGATTTTCCCTGGTCAGCGCCTCACTTGGGGAGGCGGCCACTCCCTGCCATCACCGGGAATGTGCTAGAAAGCAGGGCCAGGTGTGCACGCTAATCGCTAGGTACCTTACTTACACGTATCTTTTTCCCAGCCAGCTTTGAAAATAGACGGGCTGAACAAAACCAGGCTTTACAGACGAGCCCTTAGGGACATTTTCTGGGGCTTCAAAGCCTCCCAGAGGTAATTGTGAAAGGAGACAGACTGTGCCCACATGCAGATCCTGGCTGCTGGCACAAGCCCAGGGCTAGCAGACAGCCACCACCCTGCTTAGAGCAAACCCAGAAGATCGGCTCGGTATAGCCAGCATTAAGACCTCCAAACATTTTTTTTTTTTCCACTCAGAGACTGGAAAGTACACGTCTTTGGAGATGTAAATCAAATTGCAATAATTTCAATGTTCTACAGGGTGGGGTGTGTATATTTTGAGACCTGGAAATTTATGGTTATAGATGACCAAGGTCAAGACGGCACTGGCATTCTTCAAGAAATGGGGAAACCATTGCCTTTCAGTTTCTTTTTAAAGTTTTATATAAGCCCTACCTTCATCTTTGTTTGCTAACCCAGGAAACTCACATCGGCTAGCCTGGGCAAGAACCCAAGTCGCCTAACTCCAGGAAGCAGCATCCAGTCTCTGCCCACCATGGTCAGAGCTGCTTTCCGTACTGCCTCTGAGAGCATTGTGGCCCCAGACTTTCCTCTGCTCTCCGCGCCCCAAGGAGGCTAATTGCTTTTCTACCGTGTGACGTGGTCACCAAGGATTCCAGCATCTCTCAGCAGCTGGGGCCCCACCCAGCCTGGCAGGGTGAGGCCTTAGTGGGTCCTGGCTCAGCCTCTGGGATTTAGAAATCACTCTTTCTTAACCAAGTCCAGCTTTGAATTCAGTTGTTTAACACCTTTTTTTTTTTTTTTTTTTTTTTAAATCCTTTTGTGAAAGTCAGCAGGAATGCCTCAGGCCAAAGGTTGAAATCTGGTACTGACTGAAGCTAGAAAGGGAACATGTACTGATGAATCTGAGAAAGGGTTCACTATAAAGCAATCCACAGACGCAGAGAACCCCCAAGAACCTCAGCATGCACGGAAGCCACACTGGTGTGCTCCTTCAACATCGTGCGCTTGGCTTGGGGAAATGTGTTTTCCATTTTTAAAAATGTAACATATTCCATCGTTCTGCATTTCATTATGCTCTCACTAACACAGCGAGGGAAAGCAGCGGACAGTCAGTCCTGCATGTAGCTGGAGGTGGGTGGGGCAGTGACAGCCTTGCTGGGGCGCTGTGGTCAGGGTGTCCAGTAGCACAGAGCTGGAGCACTGTGGAACCGCTCGGCTGTCCAGCAGGAACACTTGAGATCGTTGCTCAGACTGTCCATAGTCTTCTCTTCCTGTAGGAAGGTGCTGTCATACTTCATTTGATAGCCACTCCTTAGCAGTTGGAAAGTTCCAGAAGGCTCTTTCACTGGGTGTATCCTACAGGCAAGCCCCAGTATTTTCACTCCTGGCCCAAAGGCTCCTAGGTCCACCCATGCCAAACCACAGAAGAGGACAGAGGGTGGGCTGGTGAGTCACACAGGCAGCGGTATCAATGGTTCCTGGCCCTGGTCTGTCTCTTGCCTGCTAGGTGATCCTGGGCTGTGGGAGACCAGCTCCCACATTTATTTACCTTAAGGAGTGAGGGATAAGAGATTTAGATAAATATAGAGGGGAGAGAAACAGAGAGTGCAGGATAGCCTCGGGTGGATCTGGATTCTTATCCACAGGCCCAGAACTTGATTCAAAAGGGGTTTTTATAACAATGCCAAGGGGAGGGGCAGAGGACCTCCCCCTTGCTAGATACAACCAAGTGTAGAACTTTCCAAACACCTGGTCCTCAGGCCCGTGGTCCAGTCCTTCTCTTATGCAGTCCTACTGGGTAAAGCCACCAGGAAACCTAGGTGGGCTCCAACACTGCGCAAGCTACCAGCTTCTCAGGTTCTGCTCCTTTATGATTGCTGCTGTATATCTTGGACTCTGGGGTGCTTGGCTATGTCTTCCATCTAGGCTGCCCCATTCTGTGTGCTGGGGATGAAACTAAAGAAGCTCTGCTAAGCCCGTTCTTCACGGATTAAGCCCCCAGCTGTTGAGGCTGCAGGGGAGTGAGAACTATGGTGTGGGGATCTGACATCAGCTGCATCATCTGCCCGGGCCACTTCGTACATCCCAATGCTGCGGTAGAGGGAAGTCCTGGCTGTGCCTGAAGAATGACATGGACCAGTCACTACGGCATCCATAATGGGAGGCATCAGCTGACCTGCCACAGTGGCAGCAAGGACAGGAGACATCGCCACTGCAAACCATAAATATCTAATGGGAGGAGTCAGGCTCTGTCTGTTCTCAGTGCATGCTGGTCCGCGGGAAGCAGGACAGTGCTGGCCGGTCACATGTCTGTGGAAAGCAGGGAACACAGACCCTGCAGTGGCTGAGTCATGGGTAGAATGCTAAAGGCCTGCATGGTTGGGAAGAATGGTATTTACTTCAAACAACAATTTCAATATTGCTCAACAGAAGCAAAGCATTAGGTTTGCTGAAATGGAAAAGTAGAACAGATTTATTTACCTGTTTATCTAGTATGTGTGTATACCTGTGTGTGTGGGGGGGCACATGTGTGTATGTTAGTATGTGTGTATACCTGTATGTGTGTGGGGGGGCACATGTGTATATGTTAGTATGTGTGTATACCTGTGTGTGTGTGGGGGGGCACATGTGTGTATGTTAGTATGTGTGTATACCTGTGTGTGTGGGGGGCACATGTGTGTATGTTAGTATGTGTGTATACCTGTGTGTGTGTGGGGGCACATGTGTGTATGTTAGTATGTGTGTATACCTGTGTGTGTG